TGGGTGATTTCTAGTTTTATTCCTTTGTGGTCTGAGATGATACATGGTATGATTTCAGTCTTTGAAAATTTACTGCAACTAGATTTGTGGCCTAATATATGGTCTACGCTAGGAAATGTTGCATGGTCTTATGAGAAGAATGTTTACTTTGTAGCTGAAGGGTGAAATGTCCTATTCGTGTCTGTTAAGTTTATTGGCTCAATAGTATGGTTCAATTCCAGTGAATCTTTGCTGATATTCTGTCTGGTGATCTGTCCTGTGATGTCAGTGGAGTGTTGAAATCACCCATTATTGTAATGAAGTCTATGTCTCCCTTTATGTCGAATAGTATTTGTTGTATATAACTAGGTGGTTTGGTGTCAGATGTGTATATATTTATGATTGTTAATGTATTGCTGAAATCATCCTTTCAGCAAAATACAATCACCTTCTTTTAATTTTTTATAGCTTTTAATTTTCAATTATGTTTGTTTTGTTGTTGAATTTCTTGAGCTTTATATAGATTCTGAGTGTTAATTCTTTATCAGTCGCAAAGTTTGCAAATATCTTCTATTCTGTCAATTGCCGCTTCACTTGCTGAGTGATTCTCTTGCAGTGCAGAAGATTTCGTTCTTTTTTTTATAAAACTTTTATTCAATAAATATAAATTTTGAAAGTACAACTTTGGGGCCGGCGCCACGCCTCAATAGGCTTATCCTCTGCCTGTGCAGCCGGCACACTGGGTTCTAGTCCCAGTCGGGGCGCTGGATTCTGTCCCGGTTGTCCCTCTTCCAGACTAGCACTCTGCTGTGGCCCAGGAAGGCAGTGGAGGATGGCCCAACTCCTTGGGCCCATGGGAGACCAGGAGAAGCACCTGGCTCCTGCCTTTGGATCAGCGCGGTGTGCCAGCCACAGTGCTATGGCCACAGTGCACTGGCCGCGGCGGCCATTGGAGGTTGAACCAATGGCAAAGGTAGACCTTTCTCTTTGTCTCGCTCTCTCACTGTCCGCTCTGCTTGTCAAAAAATAAAAAAACGAAAGTACAACTTTGAGATTATAACAGTTTTTCCCCCCATAATTACCCTCCCATCTGCAAAACATCCCATCTCCTTCTCCCTCTCCCATCCCATTCTTCATTAAGATTCAATTTTAATTATCCTTATATACACAAGATCAACACTATAGCAAGTAAAGATTTCAACAGTTTGTACCCACACAGATACACAAAGTATAAAGAACTATTTGAAGACTAGTTTTACCATTAATACTCATAGCACAACACATTAAGGACAGAGATCCTACATGGGGAGTCAATGCACAGTGACTCCTGTTGCTGATTTAACAATTGACACTCTTATTATTCATGATATCAGTGATCACCCCAGGCTCTTGTCATGAACTACCAACGCTATGGAAACCTCTTGAGTTCACAAACTCTACCTTATTTAGACAAGGCCTTAATCAAAGTGGAAGTTCTCTCCTCCGTTCAGAGAAAGGCACCTCATTCTCTGATGGCCCATTCTTTCCACTGGGATCACACTCACCGAGATCTTTCATTTAGGTCATTTTTTGCCACAGTGTCTTAGCTTTCCATGCCTGAGAAACTCTCATGGGGTTTTTAGCCAGAACTGAATGCCTTAAGGGCTGATTCTGAGGCCAGAGTGCTGTTTAGGGCATTTGCCATTCTATGAGTCTACAGTGCAGAAGACTTCAATGTGATATAATCCCATTTTTCAATTTTGGCTTTGATTGCCTATGCTTCTGGGGTCCTTTCCAAAAAGTCTTTGCCTATGCCAATATCGTGCAGAGTTTCCCCAATGTTTTCTAGAAATTTGATGGTATTGGGTCATAGATTTAGGTTTTTGGTCCGTTTTTGTGGATATTTGTTCAAAGTGTAACATAGGACTTTTGCTTCATACTTCTTCATGCTGAGATCCAGTTTTCCTAGCACCATTTGTTGAAGAGACTTTTCTTGCTTTAAGGATTGATTTTAGCTCCTTTATCAAGGATTAGTTGGTTGTAGATGCATGGGTTGTTTTCTCAAGTTTCTATTCCATTCTATTTGTCTACAAGCCTATTTTTGTGCCAGAACCAGGCTGTTTTGACTATAACTATAGCTTGTTTGAAATCAAGTATTGTGATGCCACCAGCTTTAACTCTTTGGGGACTCTTATGTTTCCTATGAACTTTATTAAACTTTTCTAGAACTGTGAAGAATGTCATTGGTATTTTGATTGAAATTGTATTGAATCTGTAAATTGCTTTTTGCATTATGGGCATTTTGGCGATGTTGATTATTCCAATCCATGAACATGGAAGAACTTCATTTTTAATGAAGTTCCATTTTTAATGTCTTCTTTTATTTCTTTCTTTTGTGCTTTGCAATTTTCATCTTAGAAATCTTTGATATCCTTAGTTAGATTTATTCACCTATATGTAGCAATATGTCATCTGCAAATAGGGATGGTTTGATTTCCTCCTATCCAATTTGTATTCCTTTGAATTTTTTCTTGCCTAATGGCACTAGCTAAAATTACAGGACTATATTGAATAGCAATGGTGAGAATTGGCATCGTTGCCTGGTTCCAGATCTTAGGAGGGATGATTTCAGCTTTTCCCCATTCAATAGGATGTTGGCCATGGGTTTCCCATAAATTGCCTTGATTGTGTTGAGAAGTGTTCCCTCTATAACCAATTTGCTAAAGATTTTCATCATGAAAGGATGTTGTATTTTATCAAATTCTTTCTCTGCATCTATTGAGATAACCATATGGTTTTTGTTCTTCAATTTGTTAATGTGATGTATCACATTTATTGATTGGCAATTGTGGAACCACCCCTACATACCAGGGATAAATCCTACTTGGTCTGGGTGAATGATCTTTCTCATGTGTTGTTACATTCAATTAGCTAATATTTTGTTGAAGATTTTTGCATCTATGTTCATCAGGGATATTGGTGTCTAGTTCTCTTCTGTTGTATCTTTTTCAGGTTTAGGAATTAAGGTGATGCAGTCTTCATAGTGGAGGTTGGGAGGATTCCTTATCTTTCACTTATTTTGAATGGCTTCAGATGATTTGGAGTTAGTTCTTTAAATGTCTGGTAGAATTCAGCAGTGAACCTGTCTGGTCCTGAGCTTTTCTTTGTTGGGAGAGCCTTTATTACTGATTCAATTTCTGTCTCAGTTATTGGTCTGTAGGATTTATGTTTCTTCATGACTCAATTTTGATAGGTTACATGTGTCTATGATTCTGACCATTTCTTTTACGTTTCCCAAATTGTTGGTCTGTAGCTCTTTGTGGTAATGTCTTATGATTCTTTTGTTTTCTGTGATATTGTTACATTTCCTTTTTCATCTCTGATTTTTATTTGTTTTGGTCTTCTTCCTATTTTCTTTTTTGGTTAGTTGGGTCAATGCTATATCAATTTTACTTATTTTTTTCCAAATCCAGCTCTTCATTGCACTGAGTTTTATATTTTTTTGTTTCAATTTTTTGTTTATTTCTTCTGTTAATCATTTCTTTCCTCCCACTAATCTTGGGTTTGGCTTATTGTTTTTCTAGATCCTTGAGGTGCATTGATAGCTCATATACTTGGTACCTTTCCCATTTCTTGGTGTAGGCACTGATTGCAGTAAACTTCCCTGTTAACATCGCTTTTGCTGTATTCCATAGTTTTAATATGATTTATCATCCTCATTCATTTTAGAAATTTTTATTTCTCTTTTGATTTCATCTATATGGCTGATGTATAAATACAGACATTCCCTTCAAGTTACCCAAATATAAAATATTTAAATTCTGAACAAAAGGAGATATTTTCATAAAGTTATAGAATTATGTCATGACTGTACAGTCTCATTAAGACTTTTTTTAAAATTTATTTATTTATTTGAAAGTCAGAATTACACAGAGAGAGGAAAGAGAGAAATTACAAAGAGAGAGAGGTCTTCCATCCAATGGTTTACTCCCCAGTAGTCCTCAATTGCTGGAGCTGTGCCGATCCAAAACTAGGAGCCAGGAGCTTCTTCTGGGTCTCCCACATGGGTGCAGGGGCCCTAGGACCTGGGCCATCCTCTACTGCTTTCCCAGGTTGTAGCAGAGCACTGGACTGGAGGTGGAGCAGCCAGGTCTTGAACTGGCACTAGCATGGGATGCTGGGATTTATACCAGAGTGTTAACCCATTATGTCAAAATGCTGGTCCCTCATTAAGACTATTAGTTGTAAAAATAGAAGGATGTTTCTAAGCAGAATACAAAACAGCAGTATGTAATCCAATTAAGAAAAATGATGTATTATGTTAAAAGATATGTAAAGGTAACATTTGTTAGGGTCATATGGAAGTGACAGAAATTTTAATGTCCTAATGATTTTTCAATAAAATTTTACAAATATGAAAAATAACAATGTGAAATTATTTTTATACAGTGTTACATAAACATTCACCAAAATTCAATTAGTCATTGAATTACTGAATAGTATAGAATTATTTATTTTTTCTTATTATCAGTTTGTGAATGATAGAGGAGCCACAGATGTAAGCCTCTGGCCTCCAGCCATGTGTTTCCCTCTGCCCATTGCATGGCCAACTGATTTTTTAGATGTATTTATGGGGTCAGTGTTGTGGTGAAACAAGCAGAGCTTCTGCCTGTGATGCTTCCATCCCCTGTGAGTGCCAGCTCAGAAGCATATTCACTGAAGTCTATTTGTGGTAGTAAAGACACTTGCAGAATACATACTGGAAACTTGAATGTCTATCAGTAAGGTATTTATTGAATAAACTATTATATCTATAAATTGCAGTATAATAGAGAGTATCGCACATGTCCATATGATATTATGGAGCCACATCCACTAAATAAGCAGAAAAAAATGGGGAAGGAAATATGTATAGAATGTGTTTTTCCTTGCCTAAGAAAAAGAGGGCTACTAATATTTGTGTGTTTCTATAAACAAACAATGGAGCATTAATTCATAGAGGAGAAATAAGGCAATTGTACAAATGAGACAGGGACACAAAAAAATTTCTTATGATTGTATTTTTGATTCATATGACTATTAAACAAAATTGAATTCTTAAACAATTTCAAAAATCAAAAGTAGAGTAACAAAATGAATTAACATACATGACTACTTAGTTGTATAACCATAGGGGAAGAGCTATTTTATTGGACTTCAAGCAAATGAGATTGTCTTTATATACTTAATAAAAATATATCATGAGGACAAAATAAACTGAAAATGATCATCAACTGTGACAGTAGCATACTGTTTGTATTTGCATTACAATTTATGTTTTGCAACTGTTTTGTGTGTGTGTGCGTGTGTGTGTGTGAATAGATATAAGAAAATGGATCATTGTCTTAGTGTCTTAGGGAACTGGGATTTTTCATCATGGGAAAAATGAGTTACATATTTTTGAAATTAAATAAAATCTCTGTGTCCCAAATTAGAATTTCAAGTATCTGTATGACCACCTACACATTATAAACCACCTAGCCAGAAGATATTTTTAAAGCATATGAAATAATTTTGGGTTTAGAGAAAAAGGCTCTAAATGGATTCAGAGAAAGAAATTCTTTGGGTTAGTTCTCTGTACCTGAGCCGTTCTTCACATCCAAAACAACAAATGCAAAATTGATAAACAAATAAATCAAAAAGCAAAATACTAACTTGTTAAAAAATTACACTAGGGAAAAACTGATTCAACTATATGTATGACTTATCTTGAAAATCGGCTAATTTGGCCGGCGCCGCAGCTCATTAGGCTAGTTCTCTACCTGCGGCGCCGGCACCCCAGGTTCCAGTCCCGGTTGGGGCACCGGATTCTGTCCCGGTTGCTCCTCTTCCAGTCCAGCTCTCTGCTGTGGCCTGGGAAGGCAGTGGAGGATGGCCCATGTGCTTAGGCCCTGCACCCGCATGGGAGACCAGGAGGAAGCGCCTGGCTCCTGGCTTCGGATTGCCGTGGCATGACAGCTGCAGCACACCGGCTATAGAGGCCATTTGGTGGGTGAACGAATGGAAAAGGAAGACCTTTCTCTCTCTCTCTCTCTCTCTCTAACTCTGCCTGTCAAAAAAAAAAAAAAAAGAAAGAAAGAAAGAAAATCAGCTACTTTAAATTTTTATTTATTTCAAAGATAAACTATCTAATCTCAATCTTGAAAAAGGATGATTAGGAAAATATGGGAAAAATTTGAAATTAAGATTAGTTTGTCGCATCCAATGAATGATGCTTTTCATTCATTCAGAGGATGAATGTTCAGAGGTGTCTCTGACATATTCTTTCATGGGATTTTCCTCCCACTCTGGCAGGGAGGCCAGGCTATTAGTCACTTCCTCCTGGATTGGCCAGCCCCAGGCTTTAAAGAAAGGAACCAGATTCTTCTGCACTATTTCAGAGAACTTCTTCATCCATAGGTTCATCTTTCCAGCGTTGTCACTGGGATACTTGGTGATGACCTGGTAGTCAGCAAAGAGCTGGATGAATGGGTCCCACCCAAAGGCCTCCTGGAGCTGGAAAGAGAAGGACCAGGCAGAATGAAGGGTCACTAGACTTACAAAAGTCACCTCCCACCCACCACCCATGTTATATGACATGGTGATGCTTAATTATTAGCCACCTATTAATATCTCTTTCATTTTAATCAGTGATTCTGTCTCTCCATCCCTTACAGCCCATTCCAGTGGCTGGCACCATGCACTGGTCTACCACTCAGAGATGGAATTTGTGCTTGCACATTACCTGCTTTGTAGGAGGCTCCCAACAAATGCTAGTTATTTGGGGTTTTATTATTTTTCTCATTCCTAATATTAATGGTACATATAAAGATTTAAATCTGACTGAGGCTTGAATACTCTCTCATATTTTGTGGCCAAAAGATGGAAATGCATATCCAGGACTCTGGAGGTTTAGGGTTAGAAGGAGCAGATTTCTGGACCGTATTCTAAGAGAGTATGACACTGAGGAATAACAACCTTGAGAACAAAGTCAAGTGGAGTGTTCCAAATGGCACCACCACAGTTCTTTCATTCTTACTCAGTTTAGGCTATTAGAAGATGTGTAATACTAAGTATAAGCAATCGTTTATTTAAGGAGTACATTGCTAAACACCAGGGTTACAGATATGAACAAAGAAAGTAATAACTGAAGCAAAACCACGTAAGGACATGAGGGTCCTTATCATGGGGAAGGAAATAAATGTGAGAGGTCTTTAAAAGTTCATGGTAAATGTATATTAGTGAAAGTAGGCTTAAGTTCCGAATTTTCTGTACCAAAATTCTCATACTGAAATCCAGGCCTTTCTGTTTGTTATTATTTGTAATGTCAGGGGAAAGCTCTTTTTGTTCTTTAACCTTAGTTTATAAATCTGTAACTGGGAGATCATGAAGATACTTGCTACATGCATTCCACCAGGTTAGTAAGAAATGCAGAGGAAGGTTTTCAAAAAATTATGAGGCACTGAGCATGTATTACTTATTTTGTAATGAAAACAAAACTCATCCAAATTTATAATTTGTATAGGAAGATGTCATTTGAGAAACTTACTTCCCGGTCTTCCACCTACAATACCCCTTCAACATATTGATAGAATAAGGTGATACTGTCTGCTCAGTTAAAACGATGACTCAGGAGAAACAGGCAAAGCTATGATTCTGTCACAAGCTTGCTTAACAGAGCTAAGATAGGATGATATCTCTTTCACAATGATTCAGGCTGCAAATTTATGAGGTGGAGGAGAGGAGAGGGACATGTTTCATTATCTGTGCAATATCATTTTTAGTAGTAAAACATGAGCCACAGAGCAGCGCCACCATGCAGTGCTAGAATCCTGGGTTCAGGGTATAGAGTGCAATGTGACAAGGGAGTGAGATGTGCAGCTCGTGGGATCATCAGATGTTACAGGACTTTGGGTCCCGGTGGTCCCCACCTCCCTGCATTTGTGCTCAGTACCTGAAGATATGTTTCCAGAGCTGTCCAGGTTTCCCAGTTACTCAGAGGGGCTCCCTTATCCATGTGCATTTTGATCCTCTGCTTCCGATTTTCTGGCCTCAGAGCTTGGTGAGCCCTGTCTCTGGAGATGCCTAGAATCTCCTCATGCACATAGATAGTCCAGAGATTACAGTCGGCATCCACAGTGTGGGGATAGAACACCCACGGGGATCGCTGGAAGTTGTGGCCCACCTCATGGAGGGGAGCCCAAACACCAGACCTCCTTATTCTCTCCTCATCAATGACCCCAGGCACTCCTTCCAGTAGGCCCATGATGGGGTACCCAGCATGCATTAAACCTGAAAAAAGCAATAGAGTAGAAGATATGAGGTCATGTATGATATTCTTTGTAGACACACACATATAAATATACCCCATTGTCCCTAGGAACTGCAATATGTTGAATAATTCCAGATTATTCAGAAGAGTATTTGACTACACAAAACCCAAGCTTATGACAGGTTAGTGGTCTCCTCAGGTTATCACATGAAGTTGAGCATTCTCTTCTACACTTGACCCTGAAGGATTGGTGTATGTGAAATATGACTGTGAGGATAACCATTCATTTTTTAATTTAGCTGGGTGTTATATGTCAGTGCCTTGAGGTCTTGGGTCTTAGGAGAAAACAGTAAGATTCTCCATCCTTGAATGTAGTCTTAATCCATTTTATGGGGTCATTTTAAGATCCTGAAGATAGCAATGGGGCTCTCATTTTTTTTCAAAGCATCTAGATTTTCTCAAAAAATTTAAGATTTTTTGACTCTGCTTTAAATTACTGTGCATCCACCCACTACCACTTCTCATGGCAAACTCTGACCCCATTCAATTCTTGTATCTTCCTGAAGCCACAATTGTTTGTTCTGCACTTGGTTCATTTCACCCTACCTGTGACACCTCTCTTTTGGAAGATCTAGGTTATAATTCACTGTTTACATTGGAAAATGGTTCACAGGCTCCTAAGGATCTTCACACAGTGTTTCCTCCACTGGTCCCAGTGGTAATTCAACTCCATGTCTTCAGTTGGAAGAGAAAGTCTCAGCGCATTCCCCTAGAACACTCACCTGATGAGATCTGCACGTCAGCAACAATCCTCTCTGGCCTGCGGTAGGGGAAAGGCTCTGCCCCCAACTTGGCTGCAGCCTGCATCATCTCATCCCAGAGCCGCAGCAGAGACTCTGGGTTCTTTACAGACTTGAGGTTTTCAGTCGGCACTGTCAGGATGATGTTGTCTGTGGCCAGCTCGCCCCAGGGTGCCGGATTTCCTTGCAGAGAGCGCTTCCACTCCTCCTGGGACGTCTTCCCTGGAAATAAAGTTTCCATAGCCTGCTCCACTCCACTTTCCTAGGCTTCATGATAGCCCTCTGCCTTGCTGAGGGACAGCCTGGTAACTCATTAACTGTTCCTTATTACATTCAGCTTTCTTAGTCCATTGTTTCTTATTACATTGCAGCTCTACAGCCTCAGCCCCTTCTTCCTCTCAGTCCCCACCCTCCTTCCCAACCAGCCCACTCTCCATCCCACACCTGCCTCTGCCCCGAGTCCCCACCTGAACTGGAACCCCCTACTCACCCAGCTTGAAGTATGGAGCCCGCACTGCCCCACTGATGGTGACCTGCACAGTGCCCAGGTCGTAGTTTGGGGGCACAAGGATGTAGAGGAGGCCTCCCCAGAGCCAGGAGATGCTTTCGTTTGTTTCGTTTAAGTAGTACTGGTATGTCATCAGAGGGGGGCGGTAGTAGGTGCTCGCTGCACCTATGTCATCCGTGTGGCAGCCAATCTGTACCTGTCAGTGAGAGCCCACCAAGGGTGGAGGAAAGGGGTCATGATGGTGAGGATTGGCAGTGTGTCTGTGTTTTAGTGTCACGTGTGTTGTCCTGCCTTGCCCGAAGCATGGAGGGCAGAGAGAAGCTCCACAGAATGAGTAATGTGAGTAATGCAGGATTCACTCAGCCACTTCCACAGGGCATTCCCTAAAGACCATCATTTTTCCTTGTTCTCTATAGAATTCAGGAGTCTTCTCTTTGATTTAAACAAAGTGAGTCCCCAGGTAAATGTTGACCCAATGCAGATACTGATTATGCCTCAGGTATTTCCTGTAGGTCTGCAACCTCTCTCTGTGTCCGATAAGTAATTTCTATATCTATAATAGGGTTGTGGCTTGTTCAACGTCTGGATCCTGTTTCAGATCCTACAGAAAGGACTAAAGGAAAAGGCTTGATATTGGATCAAAAGAAGAGAAAAGGAAGCACTCTTGAACCTTTGTTATGCATGAGGTTCTGCTTGGTATTACGGATTCTGCACCCCACCTGCTGCTCATAGCAAGTCTCTGCTTTGCTGAGACAAATTTTTTCATATGTAGAATGAAAGTGGCACCTGCTCTCTGTTTGGTGTTTTTGTTAGAGAATTGAAAAGAACTTATTTCAAGTAGAAGTCAACATGCTGAGGACATGGCAAAAATTAATGTCCTGGAGGGCGGAATGCCTTACCTTCAGTTTTGCAGCAACAGCATTCTCGGGCACTGTCACTTTTGCAGTTCGTCCCTCAGGTAAGTAGAGTCCGGTGCTTACCCAGGAATCTCTGTTGTCTGGTAAGAATCATGGGAAAGGTTGAGCTCTTCCCATCTCCCTTGTCTCCATCTTGACCCAGAATCCCACAGTCCCTCCCAGAGCTATTGCATCTATAGGGCACACTTTAAAAGTTCCTAGGAAATGACATAGGTGGTTTTCCTGTGGGGAGTAACTTCTGGAATGCTGCCGAATCAGCCAGCCACCATCCACATGCCCCCTTACCCAGCCCCAGCTCTGCTGTCCTCCATTCCATACCTGTGGTGATCTCAATGCTGACAGGAGATTCCGTGGAAGGGAGGGGGGAGTTATCACCAACCAAGAGAGAGATGGGCGTTCCAGATTTGAAGAGCTCTCGGGCCCAGGCTGTCAGGAGATCCTGAGGGCTGGCCCTGCTGATGGGGTTTCCTTTATCCACAGTGGGCAAGCCCTTTTGTTTGATCATTTTCAGGATGATTTGGTGCATGGACTCATAGATGGGAATCCCATTGTGTGGGATTTGAAACATATTGGAGATATCTTTTTTTAGCTTCTCCAGCCAGGTCTTCTCTAACACCTTTCCATTGTTGAACAGCATGGATTCAAATTGGGGTAGAACTTTTCGGATGTGGTAATTCAACATCTCTGGCTTAGGGACTGGGAAGCAGCCTTTATTGCCTGACTCAATTAAAATGCCAAGACCAACACGTTTAAGGAACCCGTTACTTGGATACTCAGTCATATAGTTGGAATCTGGGTTATCATAACTCCAGTACCAGGCCTGGCTGCCTATCAGTATCCCTCCACCTTCTGCAACAAAGTCCTCCACCTTCCTGGCATTCATGTCGTGGAGTGAGGCACAGCAGTAGACGCTCAAGTCGTGGGTTGGAAGGGTGGTGCTGGTCCACTCCACGTTGTGTTTTGTTAACAAGTTGCCCAAAGCTTTCACTTGTGGACTCACCCCAACCTTCCCCTTCTGCTGCCCTTTCAGCCAGCGTACAGCGTTGATCAAAAACTTTTCCATGCTGCTTTCATATACCATGCTCTCATGGCCACACAGCACCACACGACCATGGCCATAGCGGGCAGCTGCTAGAAAGCAGTTTAGAGAGCTGTCCAGCCCCAGGGGAAAGGCCAGGGGCCCGTGCACCAGCAGGTATGAGGGGATTCCCCCTCTGTCGAGGTCCAGTTCCGTGATGCCTTCCAGGAGCTGCTTCTGATCCTGCCTGAAGTTCTCCCCGCACCTGCAAAAGAGACATTTCCCGTGTTAGTGGCCTTTGGAGAGGTGAGTGTAGAAAAGTGCAGAAGAGAGCACCGAAAACCTGAGCTCATATAGTAGAAAACATCAAAGAGGAAGCTCAGGAGATTGATATTTAAATTTTACTAGTTGTTGCTTATTCTCCAATAATTTCCATTTTACACATAACTCTGTCCCAGATCTCAATATGTTTAAAACAATCTAGATAAATAGACTCAATAGTTTAATCTTTAGATATTGGTGGCCCAAAATACACAAGAATGTTTTGAAAATGTTAAGTGATTTAACATGTCAATGTGGAGATGAGTTTGTTTTCTCAGTTATCAAAACTCATTCCAAAGCTGCAGTAACAAGAGCAGCTGGGTTGATGGAGAATTACACAAATAGACCAGTACTTCAGTGGAGAGAGTTGTAAAACAATTGCATACACATAAGGAAACTTATGTGGAAAAATACGCTTTAAAATTAGTGAGGAAAAATATTGATTTTTCAATAACTTGTGCTGTAATAATTGACCATACATTTGTTAAAATCTATGTGATTTATGGAAAATAGCTATTGCATTAAATATGTCAATATGTCATCCAACAATTAAAGTACTAGAAGAAACTTAGGAAAATTCTGTAAGAAATTTGTAATGAGAAAAGATTTTCTAAACAATAAAAAATATGGGGTAGGCACTGTGGCATGCCAGGTACAGCCGCCGCCTGCAGTGCCGGCATCCCATATGGGCACTGGTTTCAGTCCTGGCTGCTCCACTTCCGATCCAGCTCTCTGCTATGGCCTGGGGAAGCAGTGGTAGATGGCTCCAGTCCTTGGGCCCCCGCACCCATGTGGGAGACCTGGAGGAAGCTCCTATCTCGTGGCTTTGGATTCGCACAGCTCCACCATTGTGGCCATCTTGGGGAGTGAACCATTGGATTGAAGACTTCCCTCTCTCTACTTCTGCCTCACTGTAGCTCTGCCTTTCAAATGGATAGATGAATCTTTGAACAAATGTTATGAAGGAAAAAGATGGACAAGTTGAATCAAAACAGATATAAAACATATGCAAAACCAAAAACAAAGTTAACAAGTGATGGAAGGAGACACATTTGCAACATGTGAAACAGGAAAAGAAGAGTAACTTACAGAGGTTCTTCAAAATTGTTCATGTAAAATCTGTAGTTTTAAAAAACTATGCATGAGGCCAGCCCTGCGGCTCAATAGGCTAAAATTCGCCTTGCAGTACTGGCACACTGGGTTCTAGTCCCTGTCGGGGTGCCATTTTCTATCCCGGTTTCCCCTCTTCCAGTCCAGCTCTCTGCTATGGCCCGGGAGTGCAGAGGAGGATGGCCCAAGTCCTTTGGCCCTGCACCCACATGGGAGACCAGGAAAAGCACCTGGCTCCTGGCTTCGGATCAGCACAGAGCGCAGGCCACAGCAGCCATTGGAAGGTGGGCCAACAGTAAAGGAAGACGTTTCTCTCTGTCTCTCTCTCACTGTACACTCGGCCTCTTAAAAAAAAATTAAATTAAATTAAAAAAACTATGCATGAGTACAAAAAATTTCGTACCAACATAAAGTCATATCTTAATTCTATTTTCCACAAACGTTTCAAACTATCTTTATATAAGATAGAAATAGAACTAATTAATCCATAAGAAAAAGAAAAAAAATAAATAGAAAAAAAGATAAAGGACACAAACATTTTAAGATGAAACATAAATGACCAAAAATATGTAAAAATGCCCTGTGCCTTTAAATCAGAGAAATAGAAATCAAATAATATTTTCACATTCCATATTGAAAAAGTATTAAACATAAATTCATAATGTTGAGTATTAGCTGTGCCCTGGGGTATTGTTTTGGTAAGAGTGTCATTTTGTACAACCTTCTAACTAACAATTTGTCATTATCATTCACTTCAGGAGCAAATTTTTTGAACTAGCTACACATCTTTTTGGAACTGTATGTCAAAACACTCTAGAACTTGTATGGAATAACATGTAACTATGTTAATTTTGGAACTTTCAATACCAACAAATGACTATGTGTGCCAAAGATAAGACGAATTGCTGTGTAGAGGAGACTTAGGGAAATACCAAGAACTTTCATGTGCTAGCTTGTGATTCAAATCTGAGATGGTGCAGTTCATTTAAGCCAATTTTTTTGTCTAATTTTTCTCTAATCTTTACAGACAAAAGTAATCTATGAACCTTCCCTTGACCTTTTTACAATAAATCTCCATTTCAATTTAAAGAAAACTCTCCTCCCAATAGTTACTGGGGAGAGAAGGTCCTGATGTGCACCTGTATACTATGAAGTGTTGCATTTTTCCTGATGTTGCCAGAACACACACCCTCAATTTCATTCACTCATTAATTGAGTGTTTATTTAGCACCTACCACGTCAGGTATTGCACTGTGTGATAGTGATATAATATCAAGCAAAACAGAAATTTCTTTTCTTCCATGAACATTGTAGACTTGTTCCCTTTCTACCAGTGTCTTTCTGAGACTGAATCTAGGGGAATAACAGGATGTGAACCAAAAAGTATACCCTACATTCTAAGTACTTAATACTCAAGCCATAATAGAGAGTGAGCAAGCATACTGATCCTTGACAAACACAGGTCATTTTTATGCTTGTGTTTGTAGTTTGTAGCGATCCTGTTTCATAGTGCCATTTTCTCCTCTGCAAGACTGAAAGCTCTTAAAAATGGGGGACAAGCCTGCTTTTTAACTTGGATCATACTTCCCTTATAAGAATCATCACTCACGTGACATGGAATGAGATGGTGGGCACTGTCTCAGAGACAACCCACTGCCTTCTGTCCACACTGGAGTCTGTGAAGTACACGCCAGCCACGCTTGTCACCCGGTTTCCAGGGAACTCAGAGAGCACCTTATCACTGCCATGCTTCTCAACCCAACTCTGGGCATGACCCCCGATGAGCAGGCCCCCTCCTCGTTTTACAAACTGGATCAGCTTCTCAGTCATGCTGTCATCATAGGCATTGGTGCAGTAAACCCCCATGGACTCGCCTGGTTCCAACTGAACCCGTGCCTTAACCCCAGCATCCTGCAAGAGTTTTACTAGTGATTCCAGGGAGGGGTTCACTCCAGTGGAGGCTTCAGGGGAGGGACAGAGCCAGGACACAACATTGACAAGAAATGGAGCCAAGGGAGCGTGAATCAGGTACTCCTCATGGGCCACCACCACGAGGCGGCCTTGGCCAAAGGAGGAGGCAGCAATGACCACACAGCCCTCATTATTCACCATCACTGGGAAGGTGGCTTCTCCAATGAGAAGGAGTTCAGAAGGGAGGGGCTCTGGGGGGATATTCCAGCTTCTCACTCCATTCACAAGGACCTGAAAGGCAGCAGCAGGAGTGGTTGCCATGATCTTCCAGGTTCTGCAAGGAAAGCAAAGACTAAGGATGGTCAACACATCAAAAAGTGAATAAAACAAGAGTTCACGTCTTTTCCGTAGTGGCTTGCCCAGTAGTGCCTATAGAAATTCTCATGTAATATATAGTAACCTCTCCATTCATTTTTCAAGCTCTAGAATTATATTCCCTTCCATGGATGCTTCATATTCACCAACCCAAATCTTCTCCATTGCTCTGTCCTCCACTGGCTATTCCTTCTTCTCCATGGACCTCCCTGCTGCATATCAGAGAGTGCATTTGCACTTGTCCTGCATTTCTAACAGCTATAATTGATCCCAGTTGTTTATTGCTGGCCTAGACTTCCCTAATGGGCATAAATCCTTTATTTTGATCAGAATGTGGAATATTACAGTAGCAGCTGTCTCTCTCTGGAGGAAACTGAACTTTGCCTCCTCAGTGTTTATTCTTTGAGAAAATATTCAAGCTTCCATTTCCCATTTGTATAGGGAACATACTCTAAACCTCCAAGGGGTTTCATGTGAAGATGGACAGAATTAACACAGGCCAAAGTTTGCTCTGAGATTGGCACCTTATGATATCAGAATAGAATTATTGCACTTTATCATTCCTATTGATTTCTCAGAAGAATAGAGGACATTATAGGCTGAGAATCATGATTGTTTTTCTCCTCCCTCCTCTTGGAATACCCATTTTTCGTAAAGTTTGTCCAGTATCTTTGGTTTCTGTTCATATTGTCATTAAGCAGGCTCAGGATCTAGGTGCTGCATGCTTAGGCTAAATCATTCTGGAATCCTCAATTCTCCCATTAACACTCTTGAAGAGAAAACCACAAAGCTTTGCCACAAGTGAAGATGAGCCCCTCTTTCAGCCTGGTGGTAGAGATTTGGGATCAGAGTCTTTTCCACTCCTCTTTTATTAGCTCTCTAAATAAAGGCTCTGTTCTATTGGAAATCAGAGCAGGACTTACAGTTTTAGTCTCTGTGAGGTTATCTTCTATATATTTCTATGCTTTCCCTCCCTTACCTTTTGCTAACTCTCATTACTAAAACTGTAAATATCTAGAAGAAGGCACATGAAGCAGTTTCTGTGTTTATTTTGAAGACGTAGTCTCTTTTGGAGAAGGTGTGAGCATGAAGCACAGTCTGGTCCATTTTGAGGCCCAGAAGTGGGGGAGTGTACCATTGAGAAGCAGCTCTGCTGACTCGGTGATCTGACCCAACAGCACCTTTCCAACTCCTGAGGTTGATGATGACAGGAGAGAATGCAAACTTGCTTTTGACAAGCAAGAGGACTAGGTAAGGTGTTCTAATTTCAGTGCTAACCTAGTCTCAGTGAGCTAGAGTGGGTGATTGGTTTTCCAGTTAAGGAATCTGGTTACTTCTCTGCAAATGTCCTCATTTTGGTGGGAAGGCATGAAGAATGGGTGTTCAGGGGGGGACACTAGAAATGTCTGGGTACTCCAAATAGAAAAACTAGATCCAGACACCAGAGACCCCTTCCCAGCACGGTTGTCCTAGCTGAAGGAAGCAGCAGAGACACCAGACATCAATGAACCATGGTTTTTCAAAATGTGGACATCTCAGCTGCCAGGCAGTCTGGGCCAGGGACCAGAGGAGCCGTAGGAACTACAGCAAAACTCTGAGGTGGGATTGAAGGATCTCCACGGATTAGCAGACAGTGATTTTCCTGCTGGTTCAAGAGCAAGTAGCAGTAGAATTGCTTTGGTTGAAGCAGATATGCTATGTGACATTTCTTTCCCTCTGGAGGATGTAGAATAAAGTTCATGAGAACAAAGTTGTGCTCCTTGAACTCTGTGAGCCAACTGAATGATGTTGTAGCCACAAAGCCTGAACAGAGAGTCCTCTCCAGTATTCCATATGTAATTAAAATGCAAACTGTGGACTAAATAGAAAAGCAATAAAAAACACACTTATGATTTTTCCAGTTAGTGACTTATTTTTTAGGCAACATCAATGTGTAAATCCTTATGGGAAATTTTCTTACGTTGTTTTGGATGCCTCTTTGCTGCTGCATTGGATATAAAGCTTTCGTGCCGTAACAGCTAGTTCTTCCACTTCTTGGCTCATAATATTCTCACCACTGGACAACAGACATGGTCTCATGAGATCCCCTGCAGCCCTGAATCTCTAACTACTTCTGAGAGTAAAACACATGAATTTAACCTCTTTGTGTGGTATGACCTATGGAGGACCCACTGGGCATGAACAAAAGAGAGAACCAGATACAAAGAAAACCAAGAACCAATGAGACAAACAGCGAGGGATCACTGCTTATGCAATCTCTTCCCCAGGGCTCAAGGCAAGGCCGTGCACTATGTCTTTCACAAGTGAAAGAACTCAATAGCTCACATACCTTCCATGGAATGCAATTTGAAAGTTTGAAGACTGATTGTCAACTCTGAGTCTCAGGTTGAATTGTGATTCCCAATACTACATTATTGAGAGCAGGAGGGGTCTTTGAGAGGCAATTATGTCCCAATAACAATTAATGCCTTTCTCAGAGTCCTGGCGAGTCTTGTTCTACTGGGACTGGATTAATTATTGAGAGCAGATTTCCATCAAGCAGGTCCTCTCCTCCTGATCTCTCCTCTGTGCACACTAGTCAACATTCCATCTTTTCCACAGAAGGTCAAATAGCATGTGGCCCCTATTAGCTGGGCCACCCAACTTTGAACTTTGTAGCCTCAAAAACTGGGGGCTTACAGAAACCTCTTTTCTACATAAATAGCCTGGGAATCTTGTTATAGCTATAGAAAACAGACTAAGAAACCCTGTTGCTACAAGCCCTTGGCACCCAACTCCCAGCTCCTTACATAAGGAAAGGGGTCTACTAACATCTCCCACGGTCTGTCCATGCTATGTAGTGGGAAACTCACCTTCTGTTCACAGTCAGAGCAGCTCACCAGGACGTCTCCAGATATGGCTCAGGTCTTCTTGCAGGGAGCGAGATGTCTGCAGAATGCATGTATGGATTGTCTACAGGCCTTATTTAAAGGAAGACAGTGAGATTATCTTTCAGTATATCAGGCTTTTGCTTCCTTTGGGGAGGGTGGGGCTTGATTGCGAGACTTCCTTGAATACTGAAGGACACTCCAGTGGTACTTGTTAAAAACATTATGTAATTTCATTTCTCTGTATTTTTGAATAAGAGTGTCATATCTAAAAGGGTCACAATTTTTAAATTTTTAATAAATGTAAAATGGAAAATCAGATAAAAGATCATTTTTTGCCCTGTGTTGTAATTATTTTGCAAAATGGAAATATATATGCTTTAATTTCTGGGAGCAGCATGTGTGTGAGTTAATGGGATATGTTTCACCTTATGATACCTTTGAGTTTCTAAGTGGTCTTCTTGTAATGAATTCTGGACAGCTCTTTCAGGGTCTGGTGTGTAACCCAGACTTCAGTGATTTAGACCCTAAGATCTTCCCAGGCCCTTCTAGTGCTCTCCAGGTGTCTGCTTTATGCTGTGCAGGAGGGTATTGCCCTGTGGTTAGCAAGGGGTCATCACAGTCATGACAAATCTTCTGTCACATTAAGTGGGAGCCATGGATAAATGTTAATAGCATAGGCATTAACAAAATGAGCAAAAGCAGTGAGGTCTGCAATCATTCTGGGCTGGTTCCTCAAGAGAGGGTCCTTGGAGGAGGCTCATTCGCTAGGCTCTCATCTTGGCTTTGATCCTGGGATGGGAAATTGGAATGTTGCTACTGGCTAGATAGAGCTGGACTGGACGTGATGAGTTGGACTCCCTGTTGTGGAGTAATGCAAGCTACCGTTGTGATCTTGCACAGGTGGCTGGTGTAAGTGCTGGTTATTTGAGAAAAGTTCTAATTCTAAAGGTCAATTCATCAAGACTTGCATTTTCAATTTCCATCCACTTTTCACTTTGATCCATTCATTAGTTCATAGACAGTGTGCCTAGTGGTTAACTTGATTAATGAATGTTTTCCTCTTAGCTATTTGTATGATATTAAGCACACAAGGTTTATGAAGATAGCTGTTAAGTTTTCATTAGTGTGCTTTTGAATTGATTACAACATCTGGAAGAATTTTTGATAGTTCTTTTCTCTAAAGACTGTCTACTGTAGGACAAGGTCATGGTAAGAATTAAACTCTCTTCTTGAGTAAATATAGAAGAAAGATTTACTGCTTGAAAGTGCACATCCGTGAAAGTTAGTATTAGAGAAAAAGAAAAAGGACTGATAGTAAGTGGAGCTGAACATTATCTTAGGAAAACAGTAGTAGCATAATACATCCGCCCTAAAGGTGAGGAATGAAAAGATGAAGCTAAGTTTATATATTGTTTAAATTTAAAGAACATGGAAATGCACAAACTCAAAACTGGTTTTTTGAAAAGACAAACTTCTGATGAGTTTGGTCAAGGGAAAAAAAGGTGTGAGAGAAGAAACACATATCTAATACCAGGAATGCAGGAAGAAGAAAATGACACAATACAGTGATTAAATAATAATGCAAGGGTGCTATAAACACTAAGTTGCTACATTTAAAAATTCAGATGAAAATAGATTATAGAAAAGTATAACTTTCCAAACTGAATTGAGAAGAAAGTTAAATGTAAATTGTGTGACTACCAAGAATATAGTATAGGTAAAAGAATAAATCCCTCTCATAAAAAATCTGAGACACAATTTCTGATGAGATTTTTTTTCTGGTTCCTTCAATGTTGCCACAAATGACAAAATTCTTTCTTTTTAAGACCAACATCTATTCCATTATGTATGTATACCACAATCTATTTATCCAATCTAGCTTGATTCCATATATTGGCTATTGTGAACAGTTCTTCAGTAATCATTTTAGTGCAGATATCCCTTTGACATGCTACTTTTAAATCCTTTGGCTATACACCCAGGAATGGAATTGTTGTATCCCTTCTTAATAGTATTTCTAGTTTTTGGATGAAACTCTACAATTTTCTGTAATGACTCTGTAATTGAAATCTTATCAACAGTGTATTAGATTTCTTTCTCCATATCCATATCAGCATTTGCTGTTTTTTGTCTTTCTGATTAAAACCATTCTAACTGGAGAGAGATACCACATGATCATACTGATGTACATTTCTGAGGATTAAAGATTTTGAGAAAATCTGCATGTACCTGTTGGACCTTTGCATATCTTCTTTAGAGATATGTCTAATACAGGTGACTTCTTCATTTTTTCATTGTATTTTTTCTGTTGATTTAGTTTCTAGCATATTCTGGATATTAATCTCTTTTTTGGTTAAACAGTTTGCCAATGTCTTCTTCAATTCTGTTGGTGGCCTCTTAATTCTGTTGACTGTGTATAAGTTTGTTAGTTTGATATAATTCCATTTGTCCGTTTTTGCTTTTGTTGCCTGTTGTTTGAGGGTTGTATCCAAACAATCTTTGCCCAGACCAGTGTCCTCAAGCACTTATCCTAGGTTTGCTTCAAGCAGTTGCACAGTTTCAGATCTTACATTTATGACTTTGTTCCTTCTTTGACTTGAGTGTTGCAGATGGTGAGAAATGTGTGTGTGTGTGTGTGTGTGGGTAGGGGGTGTCCTTGTTTCATAGTATTGTATGTGGATATCCAATTTGTCCAGAACAAATTACTGAAGAATTTTTTGTACAATGTGTGTTCTTGCTGCCTTCATTCACTGTTCTGTTTCATTGATCTATGTGTTGCTTTTTATGCCACAATTATGCTCTTTTGCTTACTATTACTTTGCCATATGTTTTGATGTCAGTTATTATAAAATCTCCTGCTTTGTTCTTTTTGCCCAGAATTGGTTTGACTACTTGTGGTCTTTTAGTAAGGTGTTTTCAATTTCTGTGAAGAATGTCATTATTATCTTCATGGCTATTGCATTGAATCTTTAGATTAATTTGGGTGCAATCGGCATTTTGGCAATAATAATTCTTTGAATTCACAAACATGGAATGTCTCTCCAATGTCTTCCTTCAATGCTTTGTAATTTTCACTGTAGAGACCATTTACTTCCTTAAATTTATTTCTGATATTTAATTTTAGCTTTTGTATTTATTGTGAAAGTGTTTGCTTTGTTGATTTCTTTCTCAGCAATTTCTTTATCAGAGTATAAAAAAGCCACTGAATTTTGTACATAAATTTTGTTTCCTGCTACCTTATGAAATTTATTCATCAGATCTGTCTTTTGTTGGAGCCTTTTTTTCTATGTGCAAATCATGTCATCTGCAGTGAATAATTTGTTCTTTATTCTGATTTGGTTGTGCTTAATTTCTCTTGTCTTCCTGCTCAAGGATATGCAATATGATATTGGCTAAAAGTGGTGAATGTGAACACCCTTGACTTCTTCATTATCTTAGAGGAAATAATTTCAGTCTTTCCTTCTTTAGTATGATGTTGGCTATGGGTTCCCATAGGTAGCCTTTATCGTTTTAAGGTGTGTTTTTTCTACACCTAATATTTTTAAGCTTTTTCCCCAAAAAGTATTCATCTTTTGAGTTCTCACGTATTTTTGGATGATTCATATTGTCTGTGTTAATATGATGTATTGCATTTAGTGATTTGCATATGGCAGATAGCTGTTGTATCACTGAAACAAATCCCCCTCGATCGTAGTGTGTAAGTTGGAATTGACTTACTAGTATTTTGTTCAAAATTTTTGCATCTATATTCATCGGGAATATTGGTCTGTAGTGTGTGTGTGTGTGTGTGTGTGTGTGTTTGGTTTTGGTAACAGGGTATTTCTGACTTGGCAGGATGAATTTTTAAGGGTTCCTTCCCTTTCAATACTTCAGACTAGTTAGAGAAAAATTGATGCAGGGCCAATTTTGTTGCACAGCATGCTAAGCCACTGCTTGTGATGCTGTCATCCAGCTGATTCAAGTTCTGGCTGTTCCACTTCTAATCCAGACCCCTGCTTCTGTGCCTAGAAAAAGCAGAGGATGGTCCAAGTATTTGGGACTCTGTCACACACATTGGAGACCTGGATGGAGTTCTGGACTCTGGGCTTTGGCCAAGTCCAGTCCCAGCATTTGTGACCATTTAGGTAGTGAAACAAATGGACTATCTCTCTCTCTCTCTTTTTTTTTTTTTTTTTTGACAGGCAGAGTGGACAGTGAGAGAGAGAGACAGAGAGAAAGGTCTTCCTTTGCCGTTGGTTCACCCTCCAATGGCCGCCGCGGCCGGCACGCTGTGGCCGGCGCACCGGGCTGATCCGATGGCAGGAGCTAGGTGCTTCTCCTGGTCTCCCGTGGGGTGCAGGGCCCAAGGACTTGGGCCATCCTCCACTGCACTCCCTGGCCACAGCAGAGAGCTGCCCTGGAAGAGGGGCAACCGGACAGAATCCGGCGCCCCGACTGGGACTAGAACGCGGCGTGCTGGCGCCGCAAGGCGGAGGATTAACCTAGTGAGCCGCGGCGCCAGCCAGGACTATCTCTTACTTTCTGTATTTCCCTCTGTCTATTGCGCTGTCTTTTAAACAAATATATCTTTTTAA